CAGGCCATATTAAGTAATTCATTTCACTGTGCCTAGTGATGGTAACTACTGAGAGGGTGTTGAGAAAAGGGGTCAGATCCTTTGGAAATTCTGGTTTTGTGTCTTAGCAAAATTTTAAGTTTTGGATATGAACGGTACCTTTATTTTACAGATTGAGTGAGGAGTCGGCAATTCAGCATATGGTTTGGTCAAGAGAAGTGGGTTAAGATCTAGGCTCTGTTCTTTGGATTCTACTAGATTTAGGGATTCCAGTTGTAGGAGAAGCCAAAGTAAAGGCCAGTGTTCCTTCCTACCTCCCAAATACGAGCAATTTCCTGATGTCTAGTTCACCATTTCTGCATACGCATGCCTTTCAAGACAAGATTTCACAAGTAAATATATAGAAATTAGTAGACCAGGTAATCACATAACTCTTAAGACTAACTCTGAAATAGGAGAAAAGCTCACAGACCAGCTTCTTGCTATATCAGATAAGTATCATTTCTGTTATACCGGGATTTCTGTTCTTCACAATGACATGTGCAATAGGAAACCATATGTTTCTGTGCTGTCTGCTCTGCTCAGAATTATGGTTAATAGCCATAATAAAAACAAGGCCATGTTGTCACAGTCTCTCCAAACCTTGGATACAATTCGTAAATGACATGCGGTCATGTATCATTGCCAGTGGCGTGGAAGAGCTCCTCGATGACTGGGTTTTTTTCCTCACTCACTGTTTCTCAGACAAAGTCTGGGGAGATCTGAGAAGATCTGTCTGTCACGGGGTGGTCTGGCGTGATTCTTGAAGTGCAACCATTTGTATTATTTGTATTGCACTGGAGATAAATGTCTTTCAAGTACTTCAGAGCAGCGCACACTATTAGGGCTCTGGTAGGGTTTTGTAATCCCTGTGACAGTCAGAGGCAGGTGTCATGGGCTGGGGGATGTGGGAGGTGGAAAATGAAACATTAACTGTGAATTTCATGACTGCAGATCTTGGGGACTGTTTGGGTTTAGGTTTCTTTTCATGTGTTGTTTGACATATACTTATTACACAAAAACATGAAAATTCATAACTTATTAACAGAAGATCATTTCAGAAGTATTTTTTCATGGCTATGTGATGTAGTTGACTAATGGGTACGTAGTGGCATATGTGCATTTTTAAGTGCATGTTCCTTTTCTTAAAACCTAAAGAAAAATTTAAAAAATAACCTATTAATATCCTCGAATTACTGATAACACTATAATTGCGTTAATTATGAGGCCTTTGTTTCAGGACATTATTGACATCCTTCAGGTCTGGGAAAGAGCATATAAATTATCAAGTTATGTCCACATAATTAACAAGCGAGGTAACTGATACCTAGAGACCTTGTGTCTTCTGAATGATTAATAACAGAATCCATCTAGCAGTCTAGGCTCCTGGTCTTCCAGTTCACCACTCTCTCTGTCTCTTTGTTTGAAAGGAGACACTTGGAAAGAGAAAGAATCTATGTCTAGCACATTGCATAATGTATGCTGGTAGGGCAAGCATGTAATGAAGTACTAGGAAAATCAGGAAATCAGGGACTTGAGATGCAGCCCAAAACAGAAGCTTGCTAGTCCCTACCTGTAACCCTGGAGAAATAACTTAATTCTCTCTCTTTGCATATTTCCAAAATGCAAATTGTCAGAGCCCTTTTGAGGGCTATTGTAGAGATTTGAGATTTTATTTCTAAAGGGCCCATCATATGCTTGGCACATAGCTGGGACTCAGTAAAGGTAGCTACTGTGACAATATATTTTTATGTTGTTAATAAACAAAAATAAATCTGAAAATAGCTATCTTCCATTTTAGCAACCACTCAAACAAATGCACTGGCCAATGTTGATTGAATAAATACCTTTTACTTCCCAGCTACAAGGCATAACTTCTGTTTTTACCTCTCAGACAGCCCTTACCTTCGCTGGTGAATTTGCGTACTATATTACTTAAGTATGTATTTGGCAAAAACTAAAACCTCTTTAATTATGAACATCATGTTCAAAAGTTAAATTAGTATAGCAGCTAAACCCAGGACTCATACATTTATAATTTATGAGAGACAGCACAGAGTGGTGGAAGAGCATGGATTTGGTGTCAGGAAAATCTGAATTTAAATATAAGTGAGATCTGCCAGTTACTGGAGCAAATTGCTTCAGTTCTCAGCCCCAAGTTCTTTGTCAGGAATGTGTGCAACACACCTGCTTCTCATATTTGTCATCAGGACTGCATGTCATCGTTTGTAAAAGCCGTCTAGGCCCAGCCTTTCCTTTCTCCCAGAGTGCTGTACACCATTACTCTTATTTTCTTTCCTTCTGCTGCTTAGAGAAAATAGAACTCTTCACAATGCGATGTAGTCTCTTAAGAAATTATTTTGAAGGTTTGCAGCTGCACTTCTAGTATGAAGTATACCATGCTCAAAACTCGCCCTTTTACCCAAAGTGAACTTCGGTGTCCAGGCAGCCCATTAGCAGAGACGGAAGACACTTCATCCTGCCCATTCTGAAGTTCAGAATTATCAGGATGGTCATCTGGCATGGTTTTCACATTTTGCTTGTAAAATACCTTATAAACGTATCCTAAGGCCAAAGGAATATAGGATAAATGATAGAGTAATCTTAAGAGGAACAGGCTTAAAGCAATAGGCAGGATTCGGTGATCCACAAGAGGAAATCGACCCTTGCTGTGCCATTGCAATGACACGATCTCAATGCATAATTCTGCATTTCTTCCCCAAAGTGTCTGTGATTTAGTCTTTCCTGGAATCATGTTAGTCAGCCAGAAGTATGATTCAAATCAAAGGCTGTAGTTAGGGGTCTCAAGTATGATTTTAGTTAGCAGTAAACATCAACATATCGTTAGGCCGCAATGAGATATGTGAATTAGCCAAGTCACAGAAAAGGATGCCCTGCCCGTACTCGGCACTGACCACATCCACCTAGAAGACTGTGTAAGTTCCTCACCACATTTTAACCGAGCCAGTCGTAGTCTGCAAGCGTCCAGAAGGAGCAGGAGCAGGA